TATTCTATTCTATTCTATTCTATTCTATTCTATTCTATTCTATTCTATTCTATTCTATTCTATTCTATTCTATTCCATTCCATTCCATTCCATTCCATTCCATTCCATTCCATTCCATTTTATTTCCAGCTTATTTCTCTCAGCTTGGAACTGGACTGGATTTTTCTTCCAACAATACTTTACTTTTTTCTAGGCAGCCTCTTACACTTTCTTTGGCTTCTGCACAGAGGATAGAACTTGCCTCCACTTGAATCAAGAGCAGCAACTTAATCATTGGAAACATTTAACTTTCTAATTTCTGCTGTAGAAACTGTTGTGACATAGGAATCTCAATAGTGTAGTAGTTATAACTCTTGAGTGACCTGTAGAATGCTGGCTTAAAATATGGGGAAATCATGGCAGATTTCTGTTTTTAATTTCTGTTTACTTTTTCTTTTTCTTGAGTTACCTACTTTTTAAAAGTAAGTCCTGCAGTGTTTACTATGTATTGTTTTTTCACTTTTGGAATTGGCTGCAAAAGCTTTCATAAACATACATACATATAAAATTAAGTATCTCAGATATGAGCTGTGTATAGAAATGAGGGCAATTAGCAATTGTTTTTCTGGAATGGTAGCTTAGGAGGGGCAGAGCAACAGGGGAGTGGTTGACTGGGGGCCATGGTAGCCTGAAGTCCAGAATAACCCTAGGCAAGTCACTGAAAGAAGTTTTTTAAGCAGGCTTAGTGGTAAACTGGCATCAGCAAGACAGAAGAGCAGCTTAAGGATATAATGTGCATGTGCTCCCAGCCCTCCACAAATAGGCTACTTTCACTTGTCCCTTTACTTTTGGAAAAAATGAATACAGATTCTCAAGAGAACTGAGAAGGAAGAGGGGCCAAAAAAATCCTTCTCCAAAACCTGTCTGTGACTCCAATATCTTTCTCAAGAAGGTAATAAGCAGCAAGTTTAACTGAAATAAGATTTTATTTGGAACTGCACAATTGACTTATTATTTTGGATATATTTCCTTACCTAAAATGAGAAACAGACTGGTCAAGGCTGGGCAAAGAAGCAGTGGGAATGGAAGTGACTTCTGACTTCCTGCTGACTTCTCCGTTGAAGGAATCCTAGAAGGAATCTGGTATGGAATGTGGATTTAACTTAATTGATTGCACACACACACACACCCCTCTTTAAAACCTTTCCCATGTATTAGACATAGCTATCTGTTGTATTTTAGGATTGGCACAAGTTTGTTTGCATGTTTATGTGTTTTCACATAGCTGGACTTTGGGTAGGACATTCCAATGTTCTCCTTTTTAAAAAAATCAGATCTGTAGGGATAAATTCTGGGTAAATGAACTGAGAATTCCACATAGTTGAATAGTAATATTGTGAATGCCTGTTTAATGGGGAGGTTGTGAGAATGCAACTGCTGTGTTCACAAACCACAACATCATAAATCTGATTCTGATTCCTTTTTGAAACAAAAAGCAGAAAAAATCCTGCTGTATCTATGGTCAACATGAAACTTCTTTGGATTGTTTGGCTGGAAGATGGGCTTGATCTATGGTGCTGACTGATTCAGTACGTGAACCGGCCAAAAGCCTCCAAAGAAACCACTAGATGGCACAGCCAACCTTCGTTTTGCAGCAACATCAACCAGCAGATGGCAACAATCAAATATATATTCCTTTAAATTCCACTTCAATTAAAAGAAGAAAAAGCAGAACATCCAGGTGGAATTCTGTAGTAGAAAACTATCCTTTTATATACTTTGGTTTCAGAATTCTTATTTTATCATTTTTATGATAGTTATCAGAATACAGAATACAGAATTTATATTTTAATTTTCAAAGGCACTTTCATTGCTGGAGATACTGAGACATACACACACATAAAATGATTGGTCTACAAACACATGGCAATCTGGGGAAACAACAAGAAACCAAAGCTAGTTTCCTCATTTTCAAACATTGCCAATGATGCTAATTTTAGCTTTTCCTATATTGCTCCTAACATTTGTAAATTTATCTACATGGTTGATGTTAATGCATTATGGAAAATGTGCAACAAAGATTATGAATACACTGTTTTAGTTTAAAGCAGGAGTGTCAAACTCAAGGCCTGTGGGCCTGATCCAGCCCACGGGGTACTTAGATCTGGACTGTGGGGCCACCCTGGAAACAGTGAAGTACCAGCCCGTGATGCCTCTACCAGCAAAAATGGAGAAGTGGGGGCCTGATCACCTCCCTGGGCCCAGGATTGGTGAATCCTAATGAGGCCCAAGAGTTGTGTGGGTGGTTAAGCCATTACAATTCCTGTTGGTGACCGTTGGAACGTCCGGCACCACAGGTCAGTGGCAGTGTCTAGAAATGGGTGGTGGAGGAAGTGTCCCCTGGACACCTCTTCATCGTATGCTGAGAAATTTTAAGAAGGGAAGCCCGAAGGCAGTTTTAATCTAGACATCATTTCAAAAGTCCACCAGATTGTTACTGACCCAGATAATGGTCACCCAGATCAATACCAGTATATTGGCCAGTGGCAAGTAGTAGTAAACAGAATCCTGAATGGTTTCGCAAATGCTGAGTCAAATTCATGATGGTCTGTGTGGCCCAAATGAATAGAAATCCCAGATCTCAGATCAAGGAGAGTCAAATCAAACCTGTCTTGAAAGCTGAACCCTATGAAGAAGATAATCCTCCCAATGTTGATGATGGCAATAATCAAGTTCCCAGGGCAGGAGCACAGAGAATACAAAAGGAAATGCCAAAAACAGATCAAGGGGTTAGGCCTAAGGAACCTCTTCAGCCCCTCCCCCGAACCCTTGGTCTGAATGAAGATAGGGGGCATCTAGATTTGTAGTTACTAAGTTGTTGGCTCCCCTTTTCTGCTGATGTTATAAATATACAAGGGGTTGATGGCTCTGTAAATTACCACCCTTTTCTAAAGCCCCTGAGATGTTCCCTGAATAGAAGGGACATTGAACATCAATTCCGATACATCCCATTCCCTTATTGGGCTGGGACATGTTATGCAAAATGGGGGCAACTTTGCCATTTGAGGAAGATAAAATGGCACTAGTCATGAGGCATTCTCCAAATGAGATGTGGCAAGTAATGGTGGCCCAAGAGGTTTGAGTCCTCGATACTTGGCAGGAGTTTGATGTGCACCAATTATGGGCAAAAGGTAATCTGCCAGAATATGCAGTGCACCATATACCACTAGTCATTCAAGTGAAGCCTCTGGCAGTACCTGTTTGTCTCCGGCAGAGAAGTTACCCTCGCCCCATTGCACAAGCAATTCAAGACAAAGAGGAGGGGCAGTTACACAGGTTAGGGAATCTCGACAAGAATGTGGAATTCTTGTAGTTGTTGCAGCTAACTTTCTTGCTGCAGGAGGTAGAGCGAACCCTTAGGGGTGACTCTAACACGTAAGGGCGTGAAAATACCCTTTAGAGCAGTTATTGAGCCAGTAGAGTGAGGAAAACCTACTCCCCTGGACTAAAAGTTTAAGTAAGAACAGAATGATAAATTTGTGCATTGAAAAATGGCAAAATACATAATTGAGGAACCACAATACAGGTGGGATTATCTGGGGGAAACAAGCAAATGTTGGTTGGGTAAATTAGAACAATAATTAATCAAGAGACCTACCTTTTTAAAAAAAATTGAAATACCGTATCTTAAACCCTGGTATTTCATAAATTGGGAAATACCTGAGCCCCCAGCAGATAGTAAAATGCTTTTGGCTAAAGAAGAAGAACCGCAAATTTCCTTAAGGACTGAGAAATAGGTAAGGTTAGTGTTATATTTGGAAACAAGCATAGGAGTGTCTATCTGGAACTGGTAAGATTAGGGCCATGTTCTCCATGACGTTAAACAGTAAGAGTTGTCTTTAAAAAGAAAAGTGGAGTTCAAACTTGCTCATGAGAACCCTGGCCAGGTGCAAACGAGGTGTGAAAGAAGGTCTCTATAGATCTTGATCTTTAAAAATAAGCCAGCGTCGACTGGGAGATCCAAACTAGAAAGATCAGGGACAGAACACCCAAGACAGAGACAGGTAGTAAAAATCTAGTGCTAAACAGTGAGTGTAACTTCAAGTAAAAGTGACAAGTTCACTAAAGCAATAAGAAAGAAAGCCCAATTAGTGAAACCCCAAGTTAAATACTTAGATTATACTATAAGTCAAGGTCACAGAGCTATAGGACATGAGAAAAAGGAAGTGACAGGTGTGTTTTTTTAAGCAGCAGTTTGTTTTTTTTTAAGCAGCAGGCTATTGTAGAAATTTTGCCCTGCTAGCCAAATCACTCTATGAGTCCACAAAGTGGGGAGAAAGGGAACCCTTTGTTTGGACATGTGAACAAAAACAGGTTTTTGATATTTTAAAAAAAATTAGCATCTCAAGCTCCTGTTATGGGACTTCCCAACCTTGAGAAATCTTTCAATTTGTATGTGGACTCAAAAGAATAACATGGCTCTTGGAGTCCTGACTCAAGAAAAAGGGAAGTAGCAACAACCAATTGCTAAAGAAAGAAAAAGTGGAGATTTAAAGGGACAAAACCTCCCCAGGTCTGGAAATGTTGTCTGTGTGAATGTGTCTGTGTGTAATCATTTCCAAACCTGGAGGATGAGACCCTCTAACAACGGTAAAAAAAAAAATGGAGCTCATTGTCTTGTGAGAAAAAGCTCTCAGAAAAGAATTTTAAGTAATGATTGATTTGCTTGGAGAAAGAATGAAAGAATGAAATGAACTTTTTGTGTGAGAAATTGGTTATGCAAGCAGTCTGATTACAGTATAAATGTGTGAGTATGTTGATGAAGAAGAAAAAACATTGGTGTAAATGTCTGTGTGTTGACCCCCATCCCAGATTAAAAGGAGAATACTTTCATATAAAGAAATTGCATGTACGAGGAAATGAGAAAGCTCTCATGGAGAAACATGTGTGATTTACTAAAGCTAGAGAGAGAGGGAGGAACAGAGAAAATTAGATGATAGAAAAATAAAATATGTCAGGAGTCATTGCATCTGAGGTTCCACCAAGAACACTGGATAAAATTGCAAGTAGGACCAAGAAATTGTGAAATTAAATTTTTAGTGGATACTGGGGCATACTGGACATCTTGAAGCATAATCCCTCTGGGATGCCACATTAGCCAGAATTCAAATTTCAAAATCAAGAAATAAAAATCAACCCATGCCACATCAAATTTAAAATTATAGTATGTAGACAGAGAGATCAAATATCTTGGACACTTGATTAGTGAAGGGAGTAGAAAAATAACTCCTGCTAGAATTGAGGATCTAAGAGAGTTTTAGGGACTGTTAGGCAATTGTCAAAAAATTGAAAACAGCACTTAAAACAGCTCCAGTTCTCTTATTACCTGATTGGGGGGGGGGGGGGGAACCTTTCCACTTATTTGTAACAGTCTGTGATGGAGTAGCAAAAAGGATTCTTAGCTCAAAAAAATATGGGGAAGTCTCTTAAAACCAGTAGCCTTCCTATCCAAATTAATGGACCCTGTAATACTGGGATGGCCAATATGTATTCAAGCTATTGCCGCCACAGCTCTCTTAGTACCAAAAAGAAGAAAGAAAGAAAGAAAGAAAGAAAGAAAGAAAGAAAGAAAGAAAG